CTGTCTGAAGGAAAAAAATAATAAAGATTAGCAGAGGAAAAATATTCAAAAATATAAATGAATAAAACTGACTTAAGAAGACATAAAAAGTACAAAGAGTTCTAGCATCATAAGTATTTGAATGTTTTTACTGATGGAGTCAGGAAACTACAGGCTGGCTCCCTATATTTGTGAATAATATTTTCCTGGAACACAGTCATGCCTCTTTGTTTACATAGTCTCAATGGCTGCTGTCACACTACTCTTGCAACAGAGACTATATGGCCCAAAAGTCAAAAATAGTTATAATTTGGCTTTTAAAAAGAATTTGCAAACCCCTTCTCTATGAAGGGGTTTGTTTATAAATAAACATATAGTTTGTTTATAAATAAACATATAGATAGATAGATAGATAGATAAACACCCACAAAGAGGACATTAAAGAGAATAAATTACTATCTATAACTATGACAAAATACATTCAGTAATATCGAATTAATAATTTTTTGAAAAGTTAACGTACTTGGAATGAAAAGGAATTTCTTTAACAATGATAGCAATCATTAAACTTAATAGTAAAATTTGGAGAAGTATTCCATTAAATGAAACTAAGAATACAATCATGCCTACTATTATAACTTCAATTTAACATTAGATGTTCTGGCTTGCATAATAAGACAGGAAAATGAGTAAGAAATATAAGAGTTGACAGAGTATCCAGAAGGAATCAACCTTGCTGACACCTTGACTTTAAGCTTCTATTCTTCAGAACTGTGAGAAAATAAATATCTGTTGCTTTAAGCCCTCATAAAAGAATATAATAGAAGAAAGAAGAAATCAAAATGTCATTCGCTCCAGCTACTACTATTCATTTAAAAAACACAGAACAGTCTCAAATTATATGGTTTTATTATGCCCAGTAAAATTAAATAAAATAGGTGTAAGAGCAATCTTCACAAAACATAAATTTCATTTCTATCCACCAGTAAGTTCATAAATGTAATAGTTGAAAAACGAGATTATGCTCATCCAAAAAAATCCAGACCCAAAAGTACACATACTGTATTATTCCATATTCATGAAATTCTAGGACAGGCAAACCTAATCTATAATGACATAAAGTGAATCAGTGGTTTCCTGTGATCTGGAATGGAGAATTTGACTGAAATGGAGCAATAAAGAACTTTCTGGATGATAAAAAAAACTTTATTGCAAAGAAGTGTTGACACAGACACAAAGTGAGCACATGATGTTGGAAAAACGGCACCAATAGATTTGCTTGACACAGGCTTGCAATAAACCTTCAGACTGTAAAAAAAAAATTCAGTATCTGGGAAGTACAGTAAAATGAGGTATGCCTAACTACTCTTTCTGGAGGTGTGATCATAAACCATTTCTAAGAAATGTTTCCACCCTAAAGATTCCCCTGACCGAGTCAGTCCTCTGTGTCCGTGAGTTCCAAATCTGTGGATTCAACCAACCTCAGATTAGAAATACATATATTTTAAAAATTACTCTGCACTGACTTTTTCTTGTTGTTATTCCTAAATAATACAGTATAATACCTATTTACATAGTATTTACATTGTACTAGGTATTATATGTAATCATGAGATGATTTAAAGCATACAGGAAGGTGTGCATAGCTTATATGCAAATACAACACCATTTTCTCTCTGGGACTTGAGTATCCTAGGGAGGTGTCCAAGAGATGTCCTGGAGCCAACGCCCTATGAATCCTGAGAGACAATTGTATTGTATTCATTTTGCTTTTAGAATTAAAACTTGAGTGTTACCAAATTACAATAAACTTATTTTGGAAAAAAAGAAATAGGACCCCTACTTATCACCATATACAAAAATTAACTCAAAATGGATCAGGGACTTAAATGTTAAAGCTCAAACTATAAGAATCTTAGAAGAAAACTTTGGGAACACACTTCTGGACATCGGTCTAGACAACGAATTCATGACCAATTCCTCAAAACCAAATGCAGCAAATCTAAAATGGACAGGTGGGATCTTATTAAGCTAAGTTTTTGCACTGTCAAAGAAACCATCAAGAGTGTAAAGTGACAACCCACAGAATGGGAAATAAATATTTACAAGCATTGCGTCCAACAAAAGCTAACATCCAGGATCTATAAGGAACACAAAGAAATTGGCAAGAATAAAAAATAATAATAACCCTATTAAAAAGTGGGCAAAGGACATGAACAGACACTTCTCAAGTAGGACATCCAAGCAGCCAACAAATATATATGTATAAGGCTAAGGTACACTAATCATCAGAGAAACGCAAATCAAAACTACAAGGAAATACCATCCCACACCAGTTAGGATGGCTATCATTAAAAAAACAAAAAACAAGTGTTGGCAAGGCTGCAGAGAAAAGGGAATGCTTCTACACCATTGATGAGAATATAAACTAGTTCAACCTTTATGGAAAACCATGTGGCATTTTCTCGAAGAACTAAAAATTGAGCTACCATACGACCCAGCAATCTCACTTCTAGGAATATACCCAGAGGAAAATAAACAGTTAAACAAAAAAGATACCTGTATTCATATGTTTATTACAACACTATTCACAATAGTAAAAACATGGAACCAACCCAGATGTCCATCAAAAGTGGACTAAAAGAAAGTACAAAAAGAAATGTAAGCCGGGCTCGGTGGCTCAGCCTGTAATCCCGCGCCTTTGGGAGGCTGAGGTGAGTGGATTGCCTGAGCCCGCGGGTTTAAGGCCCGCCTGGGCAGCGAGACCTCATCTCCACAATAAATCAAAAAATCAGCCGGGCGTGGTAGCGCGTTCCTGTAATTCCGCCTACTTGGAAGGCTGAGGCAGAAGGATCGCCAGAGCCCAGCAGGCGAGGCTGCGGTGGCCGGGAGCAGCCACTGCACTCCAGTCTGGGCAACCGAGTGAGACTCCAACTCAAAAAAAAAAACAAAAACAAAGAAAATATAGTACACGTACACGATGGAATATTGTACAGCCACAAAGAACAAAATCATGGCCTTCACAGCAACATGGATGCAATCGGATACCATCATTTTAAGTGAACTATCACAGAAACAAAAAACTGAACACCACGTAGTCTCACTCACAAGTGGGCCCTAAACATTGAGGATGTGAGCATAAAGTTGGGAACAACAAAATCTGGGCACTGCTAAAGAAGGAAGGAAAGGAGAGAGAATAAGGGATGCACAACCACTAATTGGGTACAATGACCACTACCTTGGGTGAGAAGGCTTGCTAGAGGCCCAAAGCTCAACTTCACACAATTTACTTGTATAACAAATCCTACAAGTACCCCACAATCCTAAAATAATAAAAACATTTAAAAATAATGATAATTTAAAATTTATACTATGTTGGAGAATAAAACATCAGCTGTAAATAATAATTTTCATTAACTATCAACAATGCAATTATACATTTGCATCCTCCTTATACTACTTTTATCTTAAAAAATAAATGATTGCATACAAAATGAAAAAATATATAAATTTTAAAAATTACTGTGCATTGGCAATGCACTTTGCCATCCAAGAGTTCTGATGAAGATGTAAAAAGAGATTAATGTTGTTTTCAGGTCTGCTAACATAGCATCCATTCTGTAACCCATTGATCAAGGAGTAATTTCAGCCTTCAAGTTTTATTATTTAATAAATATATTTTCTAGAGCTATAGCTGCCATAGATAGTGATTTCTCTGATGAATTTGGACAAAATAAATTGAATTTCCTGGAAAGCATTCATTATTCTTAATGCCATGAAAAACATTTGCAACTTATAGGACATTAAAATGTCAACACTACCGGACTCGGTGGCTCAGCCTGTAATCCCGTGCCTTGGGAGGCTGAGGTGAGTGAATTGCCTGAGCCCGCGGGTTCAAGACCCGCCTGGGCAACTTGGCGAGACCTCATCTCTACAATAAATCAAAAAATCAGCCGGGTGTGGTACCGCGCGCCTGTAGTTCCGGCTACTCGGAAGGCTGAGGCGGAAGGAACGCCGGAGCCCAGCAGGTCGAGGCTGCGGTGGTCAGGAGCGGCCATTGCACTCCAGTCTGGGCGACAGAGTGAGACGCCAACTCAAAAAAAAAAAAAAAAAGTCAACACTAACAGAAGTTGGTAAAAAAAGTTAATTCCAGTCTTTATGAAGGACTTTGAGGGGCTCAAGATTTCAGTGGAGGAAGTCATTCAAGAAAACTAGAATCAGAAGTAGAACCTGATGATGTGACTGAATTGCTACAATCTTGTGAGAAAATTTGAAGGATTGAGGAGTTGATTCCTACGGATAAGCAAAAATAGTGGTTTCTTGAGGTGTAACCCACTCTTGGTGATGATGCTGTGAACATTGTGAAAATGACAACAAAGTATTTAGACTATTACATAAACGTAGTTGATAAAACAGCAGGAGGGTTTAAGAGGAGTTACTTTGATTTTGAAAGAAATTCTACTGTGAGTAAAATGATATCAAACAGCATCACACACCACAAAAATCTTTCATAATAAGAAGAGTCATTTGCTGCAGTAAACTTCATTGTTGTCCTACTTTTAAGATATTACCACAGCCACCCCAGCCTTCAGCAACCATCACCTTGATCAGTCAGCAGTCATTAAAATCAAGGCAAGTCTCTCCACTAGTAAAAAGATTAAAACTCACTGATGGCTCAGACAATCATTGGTAGTTTTTAAGCAATAAATTATTTTTAATTAAGGCATATAAATTTTTAGACATGCTATTGCACATTTATTAGACAATAGTATAGTGTAAACAAAAGTTGTACATGCACTGGGGAACCAAACATATCATGCCATTGACTTAATTGCAGGGGTTTAGAACCTAACCCACAATATCTCCGAAGTATGTCTGTATTAGTAAAACATATATGCAGTAAGGAATTAATATGGAAACTATACTGAGAACTTGTACACTTATCAAGGACAAAAAAATCCAAACAGTAAAAAAAGAAAAGGACTTGAATAGACATTTCTCCAATGATATACAAATGGCCAACAAACACATGAAAACAAGTGTAACATCTCAAAGTATAAGGGAAATTTTTTAAAAATCATAAATAAAAATATGAATTAGCCAGACACAAGCATTACACTGGCCATTTAAAAAAAAGAAGAAGAAAATAAGCATTGGTGAGGATATGGAGAAATCAGAATCTTTGCAATTTGTGAGTGGAGATGTAAAATGGTGGAGCCACAGGGGAAAACAGTACAGCAGTTCCTAAAAAAAAAAAAAAAAGATTAAACACAGAATTACTATATAATTCAGTAATTCTACCTCTTGGTAAGTACCTCAAAACTTGAAATCAGGGTCTCAAACATATCTCTACAGTCATATTTATAGCAGCATTATTCACAAATAGCTAAAAGGTGAGGGGAAAAACCCCCAATAAGTAAATTGCAGTTTGCATAATTCAATATTACTCAGCCTTAAATAATTATTGAGTAATATTTTATAATTATTATTTAATAACAATTAAATGATGTTTTAAGACTGTATAATCCAATATTATTCAGCCTTAAAAAGAAATGAAATTCTGACACATGCTCTAATATGGATAAATCTTGAAGACATTATGCTAAGTGAAATAATCCAAGCACAAAAGTACAAATATTGTATGATTTTGTTTATGTGAGGTTCATAGAGTAGTCAAATTCATGGAGACCGATAGTAGAATAGTGATTTCCAGGGGTAAGAGGAGAGAGGACTAGGAGCTCTTTTTAGTGGTTACAGAGATTCAGTTTGAGAAGATAAAGAGTTCTGAAAATGGATGATGGTGATGGTATCAAAATAATATGATTGTCTTTAATGTCATTGAATTATACACTTAAAGAGATTAAAGTGATACATTTGCATTTTTATGATAATAAAATATAATGTGGGTAGCTGCATGGGAGGAGTATGTGAAAATGCTATACAATTTGCTAAATTTTAATGCAAACTTACAACTTTTATAAAAAAATAAAGTCTATTAATACAGGACAAGAATAGGTTATAAAGTCTTTAAAAATTGAACGACAGTAGTACAGTCACTGAATATCAAGTTCTACTCACTGCACTTCTATTTTCAAGTCTTGGATTTCTTAGTACCTTTGAGACTTTTGATTGTGTGCCACCTTTGTAGTCCAATTTCTTCAATTCCCTTATTTGTGATCTGTGAGTCACTCACAACAGAAATAAAATCTCATTCCTCTTTATATGATCACACTATGAACACAGTAAACACATCCTAATATGAATGAATGAATGAAAGAATGAATGAACTATGTAAAGGTCAAACATAAATGGATTATAATTTGGACAGGCTTTATAAACAGACACTCAAGTTCTGGTAAACTCATAACATATCCCTGGTTTGACCTCATAATTGCCCAAATTATATGAATAGTTTGTATCAAAATATTGTTTCTGAGCCTGTACCTAAGTAATGTACTATAGCTAGTAAAGTTGTTTTCTCAGGGTTAACAATTCTGAAATAATTGAGGTCTAAGATTGAACAAATAAGCAAACAGATAGTGGATGGTGTGAGTCAGATTTTTCATTGATGAAGTGAGAGGTTACAGAAAAGCAAAGAGACAGTTCTAGAATGAACAATGTAGCAATGCATTCTAGTCAAAGAAGTCAATATTGAAGCACGTTTAGCTCAAAAAAGATACTTATAGATGCATATGGAAATTACTGTAGAAATGTGTGTATTACAAGAGTTAATATATGTACCTAGGTTCCCTAGCTCTGTTTGCTGAGAAGATGTTGGAGTATCCCAGCGCAATAAGTACAGCCAGTCCTCAGGTTTTGGTTTCAGATACCCGTTCTTTGAAAAATGGAACAAGAGCTCTTTGGATAAATGGCTGATTCTAAGACTGCAATAGGGCATATGGAAGATGAGTCTGGAGCATTTTGTAGTGCCAGAAAGTAAAAAAGTGGGACACACACACACACACACACACACACACACACACACACACACACAGATGGGGATATGCTTAAGGGGTATAGAAACAAAAAATGAAAGAGCTTCTAATGGCCAAAGCTAAGATACTATGTGTGAAAAAGAAATAATATAATATTGGGTTATAACCCAAATCATAAAATATATATACATAAGTCTTCCCAAATTTAAAAAGATTAAATAGTGAAAAAGAAACAAATTTCCTGTAATATATAATTCCAAATAATTTATGCAGGTATTCCTCTAGGAGTTATAGCAAAAATCCTCATGCCTTAAGCGTGAACTACATTTAGTAACTTGTTCCTAAAAAGTAACATATGGAAAGTGGAGGTGAGGATGAATATAACTTTACAGAGGAAAAAAACCTAGCAAACACTACCACAACTAGGTGATCAGAGTTAACATAATCAGTTATATCACGTGGATAGCATTTTCCCTTGATATGGCATTTCACCTCTATAGTTTCCCTTCCAGAAACCTATAAACCCACTTTAACTATGAGACAGACATTAAACAAATATGAATCAAGGTACTTTCTTCTGTAAAGTACCTGATTCTCCTCAAAACCATTAAGTTTATAAAAAAAAAAAAACAAGGAAATTGACACCAGCACGTTAAACCTAAAACGGAGTGACTACTTGCTAAAATAAAATACTTAAATAGGATCCAGTGTCTCATAACACTATACTCAAAATGTCCAGGTTATAATAAAACATCACTCATCATATTAAAAATCAGAAAATCACAACTTGAATGAACAAAGGCAATCAACAGATGCCACCACCAATTTGACTCAGATACTGGAATTATTTGACAAGGGTTTTAAAGCAGCCATAATTAAATTCTTCAACAAGCAATTATGAACACTCTTGAAACAAATGAATAATAGAAAATCTCAACAAAGAAGTAGGAGTTACAAAAATGAAAATTATAAAACTGAAGAAATAAAATAACCAAAATGAAAATCTCATTTTCATATTGATGGGCTCAATAGCAGAATGGCAGGAAAGAATCAGTGAACTTGAAGACAGTTAAACAGCAGTGACCTAATCTGAACAGCAAAAGGAAAACAGGCATATATCCAATGAAATAAAGGCTGACTTTTTTCAAAGTTTGGCAAAAAGCATAAACCTACAATGTTCATGAGATCCTGGTTTCTATTTTTGCATTTCCCTGTGAGTCTATAATTATTTCAAATAAAAAGTTAAAAAAAATATAAATTGATAATTATCTCACATTCCCTTCTGTTTTTTTATCACCTCAGAGGTATAATGCTATAAAAAGAGTAGCTATAAGTTACCATCATAAATCACATTATATTACAATTTATCCTCATAACAATCCTAAGAAGTGATGGTAATGATTATATATTGTTTTGTTTTGTTTTTTGTTTTTTTTGAGTTGGAGTCTCACTCTGTCACCCAGACTGGAGT